CAACACAACACAACACACACACACGTGTTGTTACACAAACACTTTCAAGATCTGATATTTTGTAGGTAAAATTTCTGATTGTGATGAATTTTGATGAATTCAGTTTTGGATATTTAACTACTGGTTCGAGTGCAGTACCGGATGTTGACCGTTTGTTTTTCATAATTTGATTAATAATTTAAGTAATTCCATTGTAACTTTACACTGGTGCTCTTACAACCAGAGTCTCTGGAAACACTCTATCATGAGTACAATCCATTCAAGGATAATAAAGAAAGATGATGCAGCAGACTTTAAGAGGAGACTGGAAGTGCTGCTGTGTGACTCACAAATACAGCACTACAGTAGTACAAGCGTTACTTGAGGCAAAGACATGTGATCTTTGTTTCATGATAAATTGGTTTTGGTTTGAAATTCCAAAGTGTGGAGATAAATGTTTCCATCGGGCTGAAAGATGGCACAGGGTTTGTATTATTATGATTTCAGGGGGTCTGATTGCAGTCCTCTCCAGTTTGGCCCCCAGTTTCTTCACACAATATGCCAAAGTGCCTTCAGCCTGAGAGACAGGAAATAGGACCCTTGATGCATCAGTGACTTTTGATTCTGAGGGAAAGATTGCAGGTTTGGATCCAGCACAGTGAGATATCCTACAAAAATAGGCTGTGTGCTTAGACTGTAGGTCAGGCTGTAATGAACGAAAATAGCATTTGTTACAGAGGGAGCTCTGTATCTGAGTCACCTGACGGCCTCTAGCAGCACATCAGTGAACAAGCAGATACTTCTGCTGCTTTGTGGCTGCAAGCTTTTGGAAATTACACATTTTCTTATCATTTTCAAAATATCTGCACACACTCTTCATAAAAAGAGGGTATAAAAAAGGTCTAAAGCTTCAAATAATCGAACGTCGGTTCCTAGTTTGGAAGTATGCCGAGTAATTTAATAGGAAGTGAAGACAGTTCAGTGTAAAGGAAACCGCTTCATTGATTTAAACGTCGTCCTCAAAGGAGAAGCCTCTGACTCTGGAAGAAGATCCAAGTTTGAAGAAGCCCAATAACGTGAAGCATGTTTCTTTGTTGTCAGGTGAGACGGGTCTGGGGAAGTCCACCCTTATGGACACGTTGTTCAACACCAAGTTTGAGGGTGAGCCCACTCAGCACAACCAGCCGGGAGTCACACTCAAGTCCAACACCTATGAGCTCCAGGAGAGTAACGTGCGCCTCAAACTCACTGTCGTCAACACCGTCGGCTTCGGGGACCAGATCAACAAAGAAGACAGGTAAAGCAGTCTGAACGACGTCTTTGAGGGAGTGAAAGGTCTGATCTGTTTATCACTGGTAGGGTCTTTGTGAACAATAGCTGAAATCCACACTTATAATGAGTCTGAGCGCTCGGAGACTTCTCAGAGGTCAGGTTTCATTCAGCCCCGAGCCAACAAGGGTCAGGTTGTGGGATCAAGTCTCCTTCTCAAATAGTTTCCTCTGCCGCTTTAAAGGATCAACCATCGTAGAGAGAAACCAGATCTGTCACAGCATCGAGGTGAGAGGCCTCTGGTGTCAAACAGAGCTGCTGTAGACTGTCTGATACTATTTAATCAAACAGAAGTTATTGTTAATAAACCATCCACAGTGTAATCACTAACTCTGCTCCTGAGGTAATTCGAGGGCGGAGTAAGCGCTCTGTAATGAGAAGGATGTGGTTGTTTCCAGGTTTTACACTTTGTTCAGTATCACATCGCCGATCATAGAGATAATAACACGGTCGTACTGCATTTTACACAACCACATAATCAAAGTCATGTGAACTGTCAGTGTGTACAAAGCTGTGTCTCTGTTTGTGTTACTGTGTCTGCTGCTGGATGTCTTTGAGACTTCCTGTAGGCCTCAACGCACGCTGTCAAACATCTACTTTATGTCCATTTTCTGAAGCATGCATCATTTTCAGGTTTACGTGTCGTTTTTAAATAATTACACTAATAATTTGAGACCATCTCAAACGGTTGCAACTTTTAAAGTGGATCCTCCTGAAGACTGAGAGTCCTCTGCTAATGAGAGTTTATCATCACAGAGACAGAAACCGATGATGGATGTCGTCAACTTAAGTCTAAATGTAACTGTTAACCAGGAAGTTGCTCTCAAATGACAAAGTGTAAATACCAGGAGGAAGTTCCCTGATGTGATGGTGAAGTTACAGTTTGTACAGTCGGGTACATTTTACTTCAACGTAGCAGCATGTTAATGGTGGATATGATCAGTAACAACATATAGGCTGCTATAAAGAAGTTACTTACGCCTCACTCGTTTTGGGTTTTAGAGTTTAGATCGTCATATTTTACTGACGAGAACACAAATACACAGAAAAACAATGTAACTTTATAATATTTCCCCAAATTCAGTAGCTGTAGTGCACAATAGATTATGTGATACCTTCAATATGGAGTCTTTTTCCTCCAAATTCAAATTTGGTCATTTCTTGAGGAGGAACCTTCAAAGGCTGCGGTGTATCTATATCCAATCATTATAGTTTTCATATACTACTATACTAAATATAGTGATTCTTTGCACAGATGACTCTAAAAACACTGTGTATTGTTTTAGTGGCAGAACATGACATGATCTAATAAACAGTATATTAGGAAAGAAATGCTCAGATGTCTTCCATGTTTCTCCCTTCGTCTGACAGCTACAAGTCTATTGTGGAGTTCATTGATGCCCAGTTTGAAGCATATCTACAGGAGGAGCTGAAAATCAAACGCACGCTACACAGCTACCACGACACTCGCATCCATGCATGTCTGTACTTCATCGCTCCCACAGGACACTCACTCAAATCCCTGGACTTGGTGACCATGAAGAAACTTGACAGCAAGGTGAGCTTAACTTATCAAACTGTTATTGTGAGCCAGAAGCCATTTTATCTCAGTGTTTGTCTTTGTTTTGTTGATCTCGGGGATCTTTATTTAATTCTGGGTCTTTCCTATTAGTTCCAGATCAATTTTTTTAGGGTTTAGCGATGACTCTTGTAATGTGAAAACTTCCTACAGTTTAGATTCACACATTTAATAGCCATGGTGTCTGTATTGTTATTGTTTAGTGAGACATGCAGGAGAATAAAGAATAACTGTTATTTAATCCCTGTGAATATGGGTAGACTTACTTGCAGCATTTGATCTATCGACTCTAGCCAAACCTTTTCCAGGTCATCTGGTTCCTGCGTCTGTGTAGGTCAGCTGTGAAATGCAGTCGGCTCAGTGACCGCTGCCTCGTTTTTGTGAGGTCCTCTCCGCAGTAGCTTATTTGCATGGACCTCCTGGCGTTTGTACAAAGAGTTGGCTCAGTGTTTGCCAGAGCAGCTGAGCCCTCTGGCAAACACTCACAGCAGTGTCGTCCAGACCAGAGCAGGTTTACACATTCACCACATTCAAACAGGGCTCTGCCGTAGTGTCCTTGAGCAAGACGTTGAATCTTCACCAGACTCAAGGGTGCAGTAGTAAGCGGTAAGTATTTTTTTCACATGACCCTGAACATGCCTTTCTTTCACTTGAAGGGGCCTCCAGATGGAGAGCAAATAATTGGGATTGTGTAGGCGTCAGGGAACGTAGAAAATAGTTGTGTGGGAGTGAAAGACTCGTATCCATCAGCCAGTTGTAACTCTGCGTATATGAGAGTGACCCGGATTGTTTCCTCCTCCTTCATCTCTCTCCATATTTCTTTTTTTTTGTTTGGATAACATGAATAGCATAAATGTTGTACGGACTTGAGTCTGACTGTTAACACCATGTTTGGAGAGCTTTAAGTGATCTAGAGGAGCAGAATGAAGCCTCCTGCTCCCTTTGCTGCTTTACTATTTATATCTCCATGCCTAAGAATGTGTAATTGTCTGCAATACACAAAGGCCTGAAGTGAAGAGGTCTCGGACTGTGATGTGTTGAAATGATGAAGACGGAGCAGGTTTCTCTTTTCCTTTATGAAATTGCATTTTAAATTACTACAAGGTCGGCCACCAGCGATTGGAAGAGGTGAAAAAAAAAACCTTTAAGTGTATTTTATTCTGTTACTATAGCTGAGTGTCATTCAGTCGCCACCACTGCTTCTAAAAGACCAGAATTATTTGATTCATAACGTGTTTAACCTTTTGGTCTCTCATTAAAAATACATCAACTCTTTTTCCAACTTCGGACTGTACAAATGGCGGCGGGGAAAAGTTGCCACTGACAGACGAGTTAGAAGCTGCTTTATATTTAGCTCCATATCTGAAAGCGTTATCTGCACCTTGTCATTGTGTCAGCCCACATTAACTCTCCTCGTCTCTCGACTGCAGGTCAATATTATTCCAATCATTGCCAAGTCAGACGCCATCTCCAAGAGCGAGCTGGCCAAGTTCAAAATCAAAATCACCAGTGAGCTGGTGAGCAACGGAGTGCAGATCTACCAGTTCCCCACTGATGACGAGTCCGTGGCAGAGATCAACTCCACCATGAATGTAAGGTTCACCACTGCCTCTCTGTCTACATCACCTGTTTTACTTAGTTCATATTAGAGTTGAAGTGTGAGGTCATTTCGGTCGGACTGAATCCTCATTTTCACCCTGAGAACATACGACAGTTTATGTACTCCGTGTCTCGTCTGTAAGTTTTGAATAATGCTGTTATGCGTTAGCGGCATAAACAACATGTGACGTAGAATCAGGACAGGCATCATCTGTGTCTGCTCGGGCTGTCAGGAAGCCGCCCCGCGCAGAGAGGAGGAGCCTGTTCAGAGCAGCACAGTCAGCCGGCTCTCTCCGCAGGAAGCCCGCAGTGTGGGAAAGGGCCGCGCTCACTGACAGATGAACCGCGCTCACTGAGCTGTTTACGCCATCTGATCTGTGAAGATTCTTTAACTCCCTCACTGATTGTGTTAGACCGCTGCCTCTCTCTGTCAGTGTACAGTCTGACCACAACTCTGATAAAAGGTCATCCTCCTGTTTAAGCCTTAAGTCTCTTGGTGTCTGTGTGCTGTGAACACTGTGTGTAGGTTTGGTCTCGAGACCTCCTCTGTATGAATTAAACAGTTAGTCATTTTTGAGTCATAAATTGTGATACATGGTGGTTTGTTGCAAGAATTTGAGGAGAATCTGCAGAGCTCTCAGTTGTGTGTGTGTGTGTGTGTGTGTGTCAGTATACCAACATTGCCTTTCCCTCTGCTCCACAGAGCCATTTGCCATTCGCCGTGGTGGGGAGCACAGAGGAAGTAAAGATCGGGAACAAGATGGTGAAGGCCCGGCAGTACCCCTGGGGAACGGTGCAGGGTAAGCCTAGGTCACATCCTGCACAGGAAATGAGAGCGTGCTCCCTCTCGCCAGAGCTGCTACACCTACTCCCTCCCCTCATATCGCTCCTCGGCTCTTAACAGCTGCTCCAAACCAGTTGATAACCAGTTATATAACCTCGTTCAGCTGCAGCGCCCTCTCTGCCATTATGTGGTGTCAGAGCCGCCGCAGGTCTTAGCTCTTACAGGTTCGGACATTTTGAGTCACTGATGATGTTGATTTGTTATTGACCGACGCGACCAATCCATAATAAGAGTGTGTGTAATGTATTGCAAATAGATAGCAGCCACAATACGTCTATTAGCTCATATAACATCATACTGTGCAGCTTTAAACTGTATTATTGTGTGTGTGTGTGTGTAAGTTTGCCAGGACTCGGCCTGTTCAGCTCTCAGTTTAGATGCAGTGCTGTCCATAAGGATGTGGACAGTTCTGAGTTGGTTTTGTCTTCATATATCTTTGTTTTGTCTGACCAGAAATCCAAAACCTCAAGATATTCAGTTTATATGATGATATAAAACACAAAAAGCCACAGAATGGTAAACTGTAATGATACTGTAATTATCAGAATAGTTGCTGATTAATTTGGTCATTTTCATTCATTTTAGGCTGTTTAACGTCCTCATCCAACGAACCGTGTAGAAATTGGACGTCTTTTTTATATATAACCCCTGAGGAAAAATAGTCCTACAGTTTCTACACTGTTTACCCAACATAGATATAAACACCCTCAAACATCCCTAAAGCTAAAGTCAGCACTTTAACCTCACAGTCCTGGTTTCATTTGAAATTCAATGTGCTGGATTAAGGCCAAACAATGAAAAACATATCGCTGCCTTAATGCTGCCGGTCCGCGCTGTATCATGTTTCTGGCTCGAAGCTTTACCCGACATCGGGTCTGTTTACCACACACAGCATGTGTACTCACATGATGTCACATGGTGTGTGGGAGTGTGACGCTCGATTCAATCCAGTAACAAAATCAATGGTGAAGCCACAGGACATGAACACTATCCTGTTTTGAACTTGCCCTGTTGGAAATACTCTCTAGTTATAAAATGTGTTTGTTTGCTGTATTTTATGTAAACATCAAATGATTCTGATGTTTCTGCTACTGTACACTTACTGCAGATTACATAACCCATTATAAATAGTGTGCCATCTGATGTGTTGGGTAAAACATTCATGTGTCACTATGATGTGTCTCTCACAGTGGAGAATGAGAATCACTGTGACTTTGTCAAACTGCGAGAAATGCTGATCAGAGTGAACATGGAGGACCTGCGAGAGCAGACTCACACACGTCATTATGAGCTCTACCGCCGCTGCAAACTGGAGGAGATGGGCTTTAAGGACACAGACCCTGACAGCAAGCCCTTCAGGTAGTGGACTCGAGGCTGCTCTCATACAGCTGCACTTTTTATCTTTAGCTCTTCTACTCTGCTCTCAATTTCATGTGGCATTTTTCTGCTTCCATTTATCACTGGAATGTTTTATTACACCAGTTTGTGTCTCCATCTGCTGTGTTCTCCAGTCGGTGGCCAGTGAAATGTTTCTGCTATTCATTTTTATCCCCTTTTTCATTTTCATTTTTCAGTCTTCAGGAGACTTATGAAGCTAAGAGGAACGAGTTCATGGGTGAGCTGCAGAAGAAAGAAGAAGAAATGAGGCAAATGTTCGTCCAAAGAGTCAAAGAGAAGGAGGCTGAGCTCAAAGAGGCAGAGAAAGAGGTATCGGCATTAAACGGAGACGCTACCCCATCCTGAAATATCATGTGCATCAATAATCTTTGTTGAAAGTTCCCACTCTTGTCTTAAATAACACAAAGCATTGTTCCGCTTTGTCCACCGCATAGTTGCACGAGAAGTTTGACCGTTTGAAGAAGCTTCACCAGGACGAGAAAAAGAAAGTGGAGGAGAAGAAGAAGTCTCTGGACGACGAGCTCAACATGTTCAAACAGAAAAAGACTGCTGCAGAGCTCTTGCAGAACCAAGCGCAGCAGGCAGGGGGCTCCACCACACTCAAGAGGGACAAAGAGAGGAAAAAGTAAGTATTGTTCTCTTCCTCCAGTGCCTTCCTTACATCTGTCCTTACATCTTAGGAGACCACCACCAGTTGTATAAGACTTGTAACAGTCTGGATGCTGTGAACCTGGATGAACAAGGCCACACGTTATGACACTGACAGTCCAGGATGTTGATCATTTGCCAAATTCATTTCTAGGCTCTGTTCAGAGAAGATGTCTGTGTTACATCAGTTTATGAATACAGTTGCCAATATATGACATTTTTGTGTTAAAGGCCTTTATGTCCTTTTGTTATGCATTTCAGAAACATGTATATAACAAATATATATATATATATATATATATTTAGCTGTGACACTACTTAAACATTCATCCTACTTAGTGCACATGTGCAGACAGAACTTAATTATGGTCTGTCCTATTAATATTATCAGAAGCTTAGCAGTTTCTCTGTCACCACTCATTAATAATCCACCTGATGTTGGTATAATTAAATGCTAAGCCTAAGAACTCTCTCAGACTCTCACTCTGCTCTTTATTTCTGAGAGACGATGAATCCGATGAATGTTTACCCTCCATGTAATGACAGAATATGTTGACCAGAATTCATAATTTATCACTAATGTGGAAGAAAAGAGAGGGAGAGACTGCAAATGACGAGCTGTCCTCATTGAAATAGTTGACAAGTTGCCAACTGTCAGCGTAGTCTGATGAGTGAATTACAGCCTGAAATAATCTCACTGCACGTCTCAAACAAAACAGATCGTGAAATTAAACACAGATTTGTGCAAATAACTTTATTGCAACTCGGTTAACAATTCATGGACAGTTCCATTAACTTCAGTTTTATAGTAGTCACATAAAACTCATCTGGTTTTAATGAATCTTCAGGATGAACTCTTTGTTTCATGCTGTGCTTTTCTTTTCTTGATATATCTGAAATTAATTCTGTTGTCCCCTCCGACAGTTTATATCAACAGTTCATTAAATCATGAGCGTATGAGACTGTTCTCGTGTTTCAGGCTTCGAGGCAGTGTTTGAAGCCAGATGTGTTCAAGTATGGTTGTAGTGTGCTGTTGATAATGTCGGTCCTTTCATGTTGGTAATCAACTCCTGGTTTTGTGTTGAAGCTGATGTGACGCCGTGCCTGTTAGAAAAGGAAGAAGACACTTGCACTGAGAAGGTTCTCGTTGCTTTTTTTCCCCTCCCCGTTAATTTCTTTTCTTCACAGCCACTTCTTCTCTTTAAGAGCTCTGCCTGGAAAATGTCTCTTCCAGCTGTGTCACTTTAGCTTTGTCTGTGGGTCACTGATTAAAACTGACTAGAGAGGTCTTGCACTTAAAGCGTTAACAAGGATAATAATCACGTTTTATCTGTATTTAACCTTCAGGATTAAGTCAGTGTTTTCTTCAGTTCCCAGAAGACACAGTTATTGATTAATGCTTGTTGTGTTGATGTGAATCTGTCCTGTGAGTGCATGTGTCACCTATGTTGCATCCATAATGTTTTCCAGTTAACTCCTCCCACACTTGCTGCATGCTGCATGAGGCTCCTTTTCTGGTAAGACTCCCCTCTTGAGTTACACCAACAATAATCTAAAAATATGAAATATATGACCGGGGCTTCATTGATTGTCTTGACCAGCCTTTAATTTATTTATTGTACACAAATTAAGTACAAATTAGGAATAAATGATCACCCAAATTAGAATTTAGGAAAAGAAGAAACTGGATTAATGGTCCTAAAACTTTACTGGACTAAAAATAGTCAACGTTTCTACGCTGCCGAGTGTTTGAAGATTTAATCCATTCTGCGGATACTCTTCATTTTTTCCTTCATTGAGTCTGACATCCTGCACCTGCCCTAAATATAGAACTGGCTGCACACACAACTCCCTTTCTGCATCTCCACATTTAAACATGATCAAATGAACTTTTAAAAGCTGTTGTCAATTTCCTCTTCAAAGTAATCTGAATGGATACAGTAACTCAGATACGTGAGTGCTGCGGCCCTGCAGTATGACGTTGGTAGCATCTGTGTCGATCATATCCTTGAGCTGGCAGTGTTTACCGACCTTGTGCCAGCTACTAAATCAACCACTTTATTAGATCCCCACACGCCCATTTGATGTACTGCCCCATCTGCCTCCCTGAATCCACAACGGTCTCCTTTATTGTGGCTCTCCCAAGCCTTTCCCCCACATGGCCCTGCAACAGCACAAAGAGCCATTCAAGGCTGAACTGAGACTAACAGGTCACGCCACAGCAGCAAACAGCCTCAGGGTCCATCTCTGTTTACAGTGATGACATGTTTTGTTGATCTCGCAGCCATATGACGACCCCCACCGCAACCCCTCCCACTTGAGTGGATACAAAAGCCAAAATCCACAGAGAGAGATGCTGTTGAGACTCAACTGCTGGGGAGGGTAGAAGTGAACGAAGACATCTGTCTCGCAATCTGTAAACTCCTCAAGCAGCTCAGGACTGCTAATGTAGATGAAAACAAGCTGCTGTTTGATGAGCAAAGAGACTGAGCCACGAGGAAGACAATCAGGAGCATTGTTTAAGGTCAGGGGCGGGGCGAAACCTCTGAAAAGAATTAAAAGTGAACGACTGTACTTGCACCCTAACCTCTGTACACTCAAACCTTCTGAGTTGCCTTAAGAGCTTGATGTCTCCTCCTAAATGCACCGTGGTCACTAATGTTGATGTGATGTCACTGATGTGTCGTGATGATGTTTTAACTCAAAAGAAAGCAATAACAGCCCTTCTCTCTCGTTTCCAGCTTAGGATTCCTGTAGAAAAAGTGCTCCCTTGTGGCCATCCTGCTGTGAATGAGTTTCCACCCCATCATCCTTTACAGTACCCCTTCCCCACCCTCACCCTCACCCCATAATTCAACCCTCCACATGCCCTCCCTGCTCTCTGGAAGACGCTGGGTGTTGCTAGCAGTTTGACATGACTTTTTCTTTTTGCTGAATGATGCTTGTCCTTTATGTGGTTTGTACAAGCAGTTATTCAGCTTGTCTTTTTATACACATTTGCAAAAAAAAAATGCATTCCATATTTGTTTTGTATTCTGTGATTCTTTGCATGATGGAGTGAGCTTTTTAAACATTAACATACATGACTACTGTTGTGATGGGCAGAAATGTATTGAAGCTCAAGTGAAACATGCATCAGACTTTGGGCCCCGAGTATGTTTGTGTGGTCAGTTGTATCAAACTGATCTATTTTCAGATTAAAGCAGTTTCTAAGAATACCTGCTTACCTTGAGATTGTAAACAACAACAACCAACATACTTGTCATGAATTAGTCATTGGCCTCGGGAAGAGCTACTTTGTTATTAGTGTAAAGTTATAATCATTAAGATTTCAGTCCTGGTTGATTTGGCAACGCCAGTGGCTGCCATGGTAACAGCCAGTGCAGTTTAATGCTACAGCAAACACTCCTTAACTACTTTGTCAGAAACAACAAAAGAGAAACTGTTTACGGCCAAGATAAACAAACTCAGATTAGCCTTTTTCCATCATCTCATAGTCAATCTGAATTCATGCTGCCCCTGGTAATATTTTAAACTAAGCAATCATTTTTAGCACTATACGTGGTGAATACATTGCTATTCCTGTGACCTCTTCACAATATAAGTCACACACAGTTCACAGTTGAATGCTTTTAGTTTGAAGAGGCAGCAGTAAAAATAGAAGTAGCAGTAACTTCATATAGTTGTGATACAGGCTGTAGGAGTGTGAACACTGAGGCTACAAGTGGATTACAAGCAGCATTTCCTGCTAATCTCTTGTTCATAAATAGGCAAAATGAACCCACCTCAGGAATGGCGGACTCTGCCACTAACAATGAAAACAATATTATATACAGGGATAAATACAGACTGTAAATACATTGAATGACTATTGCAGAAGAATGTAGAACAGAAATATGACCAAAAAGAGGATTTGATTTCATTAAAAACTTGAGGAATACAACTTTAAAGCTTCCACTCATTAGTACCTCAGCATAAATACTAGATTTAATGTGTTTTGGTGTTTATGTCCCTTTGCTGATGCTGTTTCACTTTAACCTGATGCATGAGTAGTTGTGAGCCTAATCTCTTTACCACTTCTCCCATACCTCATTCATTGTCATGTGTTAGTGCATACTTGTCTTAGCTTTCACATTTGCACTTTTTTTATACACAAATGTGATGTTTTTTGAATATATGTTGTCAGTGCAATTGTAACTTTCTTTTTTATTTCACTTCATATGAAGGCACATTTTAAAGTCAATCATCATTATGTCCTGTGTCCTGCAGGGACCAGTGTTGTTTGTATCAGTGTTACACATAAAAGACACATTATATCAAAAGAAAATAAAGGCCAATTTTTCACCAAATAATACAACTGTGGCCATAATCATTGTGTATCACAAGCATTACTGTAAATTGAGATTTTAATCACCTCAAATGGGGAAAGTGTGGATACTGCATTAGATTTAGATTGTTAATTACTTTCACAATTGGTTTAAAACCTTTTAGGGCTCAAAATCTTGAGGCATCTGTTGACCTCAGTTGTTCCTTGTTTTTTCACCACTTGGAGGTCCAAGGTTGCTTTTATTGTCTTATAAAAGATACATTTGTCTCTGCTCTGATTGCACGTGATGCCAGGCTCAAAATACATCAAGAGAAGAGTCATTCCCTCCTCCTAATCCTCCGCTCACTGGTCTGTGTGGTTTCACTTTCCTTTGCAGTAATCCCTGGCTCTGCACTGAGTAGGTCCTCAGCCCTCAAGCTTTGCTAAGGGACCAGCCTTTGTGGGTACAGAGTACCTCAAATGTGACCAGAGGCTTTGTGGACCCCATCCTTCAGGGTTTCTTAATCATTACCTGCTCTGCTATAATATTGATTAATGTGTATTTGTGTTTCACTGCAGCTCTAACTTCACTGTCTGCGATCTAATTCTTGCTTTATTGCTTCTGCTTATGTTTATATGTGTACTGTTGTTTTTTTTTGCTGTGACTAACATTTTTTCCACGTCAGTTGTGATGTAGATTACGTTCTCACTTGTTCGTTTGAATATTATTCACATTCACAAGACAATTAGGTGGAATTATAACATCAGTGGGCACAATATAATCTCGTGATTTTTTTTTTGCTTTGGACAACTCTGACCCCAGGGATTTCACCACCTAACTTTGTATTTATGATCTTCCTGATATCAGATGCACTTATAAATCTCAAGCCTGACTTGTGTTTTTGGAAGCGTTTCTGCTTTGCCACCCCTCTAACTGCCGGCTTTCTTTCTCTTTGTCTCTAGCTTCTTTTAATCTGTCTTGACCACCTGAAGAGGGGATTGCAGATTCAGCAAGAACTAAGCACCCTTTACCTCTTCCTGTTTTTCTCGCTGTATGAACCTTTTTTATTCTCCCCATTGCATCTCCTTTTGTTGAATATGGCCTTATGTGGACTGGCATGGTATTTCTGACCACCTAATGAAGCTCTAAACCCAGTCAGGTTGGGGGGGCCGGGCACAGTTTAAATCTGCTATTATGTCTTAATGTATATAAAGAGACTCTTGTCGTTAATAGAAGTCATCAGTTGAGGTTCAGGACTCTTAGGTTAAATCATTATTTGATCTTTGCTTGAAACAGAATAGCAATGACCTGTGCTATGCACTCATCTTTTCAATATGATTCTTAATACAAAGCTAAAAAGAATAAAACGCTTGCTGATTTAAAAACAAACTCATCAAGGACAGAAGCACTTAATGCACTATGTGTAATGTGTTATGAAGTATAATGAGTAGTCATGTTTTCTTCAACCTAGTTCAGTTTAAAAATCTGCCGCTTCCAAATGAAACGGCGAAATTAAATTAGAGTCCATAATCATGCGAAAGCCAAAGCAATATTTTATACTTAGCACTTCATTTGATGGAGCCCATGTTTACATGTCACTGTTGAATACCATGGAGGTCACATGTAATGGCCTTTTATTATTACACATTGTGCTTTAATATTCACCGGCCTATTCTATATTTTGCATGCATCTTTTTATTTCATTACTGCTGTGATCTTTGACCTTTTGACCTGCTTGTTTTTATCCCCCAATAACTCAGTTTTACAGTCTATTTCAACTTCATTGCTGTTTTCTTCAAATGGTGCATATTATTAATGTATATTTGCTCTGTCCTTTGATTTCAGCCCCTCTTTTGCCAAATATTTAGTATGAAGTGGAGTTGAACTGAATCCCAAGATAGGAGTATTAAAAATACTCATGCATTTATATAATTTATAAGGATATATTTTGTGTATTGAAGTGGAGACTTGTTGTTTATTACCTATGATCTTTGGACGTGACTCTGAGTGTAAAGTAACATTTTGGTGTCAGAAAATGCCATACATTTTTCTAGTATCAGTCATCACCTCTTGTAGTCAAAAACTCTCCCACACCGCAAATTATTCAGTATCTTACTTTAGTTTGATTCCATTGATGTACATTTTCAATAAAAAAAATATGATCCAAACATATTACGCCTTTGTCTTTTATTTACAGTGCAGGATGCTCTTCGTTACCTTTAATAATTTTAATTATTGTAGTTTTATGGGCTGTGAAATTACCTGTAATCAGCACTGTCTGTATAACGAGTATTAAATCTGAGACACCTTAATGTTCACAGGTCAGTAGTTCCTGTATTGTGAAGTATTTACTGTGTATGTGTTTGAACTTTATTCAACCAGGACGTCTCTTAAGATTTCCTGTCCAAAATGGCAGCACAGCGTCAGAACACAGTCACATAAAAACTCATAATTCATTTACAGCAATAACGCAATAAAACAGGACCTGAGGGGCATAAAGAGTAAAACTTATCTTGTATGTTATTAAGCCTGGAGTACATAGTACAAAATGTAGTGCAATAAAAAAAACAACTGTCTGATATAATATAGAGCTTATTGTTTTACATGATGGAGACAGCACGGGACTAAACTTGTATTTGACAGTTGCAGTTACTATTACTTTGCTCGTCCACACAGATGTTGTCTGTTATACTGACTGATTAGACCTCTAGTCAGGTTAACGTTGGGTCGAACGAGGCTAAAAATGACATGATTTCACCAAACTGCTATGATCTAATAAGAATGATAACATGGTTAGTTGTCTCGCCAGCAGATACAACAACAGCGACAGAAGGATGAGGTCTTTCAAGAGCAGTCTGAACACACCCACACTGTCTTGGGAAGACGTCTAATTAGGCAATGTAAGTTTAAAAAAAAAAAGGGCTTTAAGATTTTACATGAAAAACATATAATAACTTTATAAAATATTATTATGTGTTATTACTTTTGTACATTATAGTTGATTCAATTATTGATGGAACCACTGTCAACAACATTAAAATGCTGCTGCTAATATATCTGTGTGTGTGATACTTTTACTCAAGTAATATTGTCAACACATAACTTATATTTGAAACAGACTATTTTTACACTGTGGTACCTCAAGTAAATCATCTGAATACTTCTTCCACTACCAGAAATTAAACGTATACAGAATGTTATAAGCAGAAGTTTGAAATTGAATGTGCAGCAGTTTACAGAATATGGTGATAATAGGTTGGTTACACTGTTGACAACTAAGGTTTTTTGTGTCTAGTGTCTATTTGAATTTCAAATCATACATCACTGTGTTTTAGTGAAATTCTGCAGTGAACCTGAGATGAACATGTTGTTAACATGTAACTGTATCTCAACACTCACAGGATAACATCTCCGATAGGGACCCTGTGCAGCTCACCACTGCAGCGACCCCTGCCGAAGCCCTGTGCAGCTCCCAACAACATATTGAAATACTATATTGAAAGTACCATCTGATGGCCCACCAACAAAGAGAGTCAACCCCTTCTGGGCAGCTCTCCATCAGGGAATCTGCACTTATCTGGAACAGGCTTTGCACTTTAGTGCTAGAGATACAGTACTTTACTGGTTTTGTATTTATACTTTTAATGATAATTGTGGAAAATACATTTGTTTTTCTTTACATGCAGCATTAAGCTCCTGGCAGCAGACATTTTCGTACTCTGCTGGCGTCATTCTCCACAGGTGCACCTGTACAAGTGCAGTTTAATTCACACTGTCTATATTATAAATGATCATATAAAGTTAACATGACATTCAGCAATCCACACAATACAGCCTGTGTTACATTATACTTTATTGCAGTCTAAATGATATTTGTAATTGTGGGGGTCCTTGACTATTATTTGGTAATATTGGTAATTGGTGAAATTCTAAAAAGACCCTGCTGAGCACACTGTATAATCTGTGTGTTTAGTGTCAAAGATGTGACCACAGCAGGTAAGAAAATAACTGTTTCTGCTTCCCTCTTGAAATGTGTGCTCTCAATTAATATGGGTGTCAGTGCAGCAGTTGGTCCTACACACTTCACAGCCCGTTCTCATTCCCAGATCATCAAATATGAAGTTCAGTGAATTGCAATCTGAAACTTTACCACTAGAGGCCACTAAATCCTGCACACTGGTCCTTTCGGAATCTCAATTAACATATAAATACTCGGTTTGGAATAAGCCCCAAAATAAAGGCTCATTACCAAAGTCTAACAGAAATATCTAAAGGTGGCAATAGAAATTCAATAAATGAGTTATAATTTTTTCAATCTTCAAGACATTTTTCCAAACATCTCTTGTAACTGAACCTGAAGCCAATACACATAGTATAACATTTGCCCATTACTTATTAAATTAATTGAAATTTTTTAACCATTAATCCCAAATGGAATATAATAAAACTGACTTCCCAAACCCTGGGGGTGGCAAGCTGGCGTGGACAGTATTTTGCCCTCTAAGATCCGCCCCTGGTTTGAGTTTCTGGTGTGAATGTATGAATGAGCGGAAGAGTGAAAAAAAGAACTTTCCTAATTGACTTTATTATAACTAAAACTTCAATAAAAGTAAATATAAAACCAAAACACAATCTGTGTAAAAAGAGGTTGACACCATGATAAGTTTAAACGGAGGTTCTAGCTGAAAGAGTCATAACGATAAGATATTCCATTAATAGTCCCCACAAATTTGGGGGAAAAAAAAAATTTTTTTTTTTTCCCCAAATTATTACAGCAGCAAAGTGGATAGAGAAAAAAACAGTATAAAGACAGTATAAAAACAGCAAGAGTATGAAACAATAATATAACATAATATATATTAATTATAACAAAAGAAGAAAGTAAAAAAAACAGATAACACAATAACACAAATACTAGCAGCAGTTGCACATGGGCAATGAATGAGAAGTTAAGAAGTGAAAACGGACGTTGATTATTTTAAATGAAATGAAAAAGTTGTGAATGAGAAACTAAGTGTCTGTGTTTAAGTAGTGAAGTAAGT